TTGCCGAGGCCACGGCGCCGTCCTGCCAGGAGACCATCGCACAGGCCGTCACGTGAGTCGAGCTGGCTTTAGTGGCGCTCGCGTGCTGCGGTGGGGTTTGTGTTCCAGCGATGAACACATTTAGTTTCTGAAAACTGTATTTTGGATATTGGGAAGCTTGTAACAGTTTGGTTTTGTTGCATCTGTGCAAACTTTGGGTCATTAGAATTGGGCGTGACGGGTCAGGGGCCCGTGCAGTCCAAGATGTAACGAGGGCTGTCGGCCTCCTGATGCCATCATTAAGCTCCTAAATACCTGAAGTCGGTCAAGCGACCGCGGTCCACACCACCTGGGCTACGAGCGGTTTCGACGATTCTACAATGAGCTGGGAACGCCGTGCTGCCGCTGAAGATGTGCTCTGATGCCATCAGAAAATGCGGACCGACGAATTCAGGATCGGATTGTAGCACGCCCGTCACCTATATCTAACGGGTTGAAATTGTCATTGGTGAAGCCGTACGTATATGCCGTCATTATGATGTTCCTCATTAGATTCCCGACGTGGGAGATCTTCCTTCGCCGCAGACCTCGAGCCTGCCCCTTCCGGTAATAAGATTGTCGGTGATCACCGCTTTCGAACCGTGTTGATTGCGATTTAAATCTTCTGAGCGACGCGTTGGCTCAAACGACGAAGGACGTACACTGTGTCGTCGGTGGGCTGTTCTGATCGTGCATGCTCCCGGCCCCCTATTCTGTACGAACTTCGGTACGTTATTTCTGTATAAGAGTGTCCTAAGTTCGTATAATTCGAAGACTACCGAATCGAGGGCAACAAAACTGTGATACGATGGCATCATGCCGAAGGCGACGAACGGATTTCATGCGATCAATGATAGTCATTTTGTATTCAGCTGGATCATGTTCTAACTCTGCAACCTTGTGTCCTTTCAAATCTTATCGACCGGTGGAGCTTGGGCCCTGTGGCTGGAGAGCTTCTGGTCGCATCTTTGCATCACACTACCCCACCCCGGTTCCTAACTTGTTTCCCTTACCTTCACATCATCACCCCCTATCTTCCATGGCAACGCGAGGAGCGTATTAAACCACCAAAATGTGTTGACACGTCGTCTGGACAATACGATACACTATGTCCCGGTGTGTATTATGTCTTATAGTGCATTGTCACTACACCATACACTATGTATTGTGTAGTGACACAATACTCTATGTACATTATATGTGTACAGTAGAGGTGCTGCTTGGATTCCAAACTTTCAAAAATTGTGTAGTCGGAATTGGAAATTGGCCGGACACGGACAGAAACCTTGGGTTTTTTGGTTGATTATTGTTTGTTTGTTGTTTGTTTTTGGCAGCCGATTTCACTTGGCGTGTGGCAGTTTAACACCCATACACTTCGCTTACCTACGATCCACGAGTGGTGGCTGGGGTTATTGGTTGTAGGTGGTAGTTATTTGATACACAGATTTTAAATGTTTGGACACCTTGATTATTTTGGATACTTTGAGCGGACAGTTGGCCTTTCCTTGGCCTGCGGATCGGACGTTGGGCAAGAAATTCCAGAAAACGGCACCTCTGATGTACAATGCACTTTGCAAAGTATCGTTGTACCAGTGTGTGTTCTAGCGGCCATATTTCTCGGTAATAACGTGTTGAACGCAATATAAGCATGACTTGCACAAATATCAAACGTAAATTTTCGAGATCCAAGCACTATAGATAAGCCACAGGGCTACCTAAAGCGGAACCTAGAGAAACAAAATAATTTTGTACCGTTTTGTATAGGCGCTAGTCTCGTCTTCCTCCTCCCTAAATTCTCAGAATTGATGAAATGCTCTTTGTTAAACGTCACTCATTCATTAGGTGTTAGGAACAACAGTCGCCTTAGCTGACGATGTCCGTGTCTGTTTTTTTTTTAGGTCTAGCGGGCTCTACCCCTGGGCGGAGTCGGTGGTGGAAGCCTGCGAACGTGCCGAGGAACCCTCGGTGACGCTTGAAGTCACACTGGAACCAGCCTCCTCCTCACCGCCTCCCCTCGACCCGCCGTCTGTCAAGGAACTAGGAGTTGCAGTTCCCCCTGCGGGTTTGACAATGGAGGAGATCATTCAGATCCTGCTTGACGAGACGAAACATTACAAAGCTCTCGCCTCGGTGCCCCTCGGTAGGAAAGAGGATGTCGGTTATTTGGTTTCAGATGAGCGTAACATGGAGCGTCGAGTCCGCGGTCAGCGCTCGCGTTTCCAGGATGATGTTGGCAAGTGGCGATACTCCCTCTCCCCGAAGTTGACGTACGTCATGGACCAGTCGGGGGTGCGGCGTGTCATGAAGAGCGACCCCGGCGTGTACTGCGTGCGAAGTCAGGTGGACGGAATCCAGGTGTGGCTGCCGATGACGCCCCAGCCTTCCGACGAGTCCACCGTCGTGGAACTGCAGCGCAATTACAGCACGCTGGCACGCGACTCGTCTTACAAGCGGAAAGTGACGTGGATAAATGCGTGCTACCCGGGGCCGGCCCTGACCCCCGCAGTCGCCTGGTATGAGTATATGGGCCGCTGGCCGGACGCCAGCGGGCGGGGCAATGCCCCGACAACGGAGCAGCCCAGAGCTGGTGGGCGGCGCGTCCCGACCGAGACCGCCCCCGCGGGGGACGACCCGGACGAGGCACCGCTCGAGGCGATGGAGGTCAGCTCCGAGTCGGCATTGTCCGACGCGGCGGAGGTAGGCATTCCGATACCCCACCGGCCTGCGAATGGATGAAGTGTTCAAGCTTCTTCTTGGTGAGTCGGAATCGCCACAGGTTCTCGACGCAGTGCCCCGCGACAAGGGTGTGAACGTGGCGTACCTGATCGCGAATGAGAGTAACGTGGAACGGCGAAAGAATGGCCAAAAGTCCAGGTTCTTTGTCGAGGAGGATACAGCCTGGAAGTGCGGGTCGTCTCCCAAGACTTTGTATCTCATGGATGACCAGGGACTCCGATCCGTTTCGAAAAATAGGGATGGCATGTACTGCGTTAAGAAGAAATTGGCAGGAAGGATACAGGAGACACCGCTGGACCCACAGCCCACAGACGATTCTCAAATTTTTGAACTGCAACGGAATTACAGTACGCTGGGGGGGGACGTGATGCACGTGAGGAAGGTAACGTGGATAAACTCCTCCTCGGTACCGGCTGTCGCCCTCTACGAGTTCATGGAGCGTAACCCGGACGACAGCGTGAACCTGAGGACTTGGGCCAAGTCTGAGCCGCGCTTCAATGCGCTCTTTCCCAGGGTGGAGACATTGCCAGTGGAAATGGGTTCAGATCTGTCTGAGTCCATTGAGGTTTCTGACGAGGACATCATGCTTGCTCAGCCCG